CAAATGCGGCCTGCGGACCATTTTGAATCGGCGCTCAGCAAATTCAAAAAGTATAATGAAATATGGCCCACAAATGTAACATCTGCTATTTTACTTCTTAAATATATATGTTCAGATATATAACACAGTATTCATGTGTTAGTAAGCCCAATTTCAGTCAATTAAAGTTGAAAACATTTTCTAACAAATCTTAGTTGATAAGAAAAAAGCCCAATAATACATTTACATAACAACATTGAATACCCTTCTGTTTCCTCTTATTATGAGCAATCTGAGCCTCCTGTTTTAAGGAATGAGCTGCCAACACAATAAATGAAACCCTACGGAGAGCTGTGTGTGTATTTCATCAATATCAACCATAATTGACCTACATTTGATAGATTTTTCTAACTTATAACTTATGAGGCAATAAACCTCTAGTGAGCGGTGTTTGTTTGGACACCCCTGATCTATAGTAATGTTAGAGGAACATTTTTCATCACACCGGAAAACAATTCTGTTGGATTGATTAATAATGGAGCGTACTAAAGTCACAAGTAGTAGGGCAAAGGTTAGGGTTATGCTTTACCAAAAAACAATACCAGTCGATCGATTGAAATCGGAGCAGCAGCCATACTTTTCTTAGTTTTTGCTGATTAGTTGTCAATACACTGTGACGTACACAGCCCTGAATGGATTTTGCCCCTGAATTTGGAGATGGTTACCATGGTTGCAGGTCCACTTGACCCTCCCTGAGGAAGGCTTATTCACCTTCAGGGATAAATACCATTATTATATACGTAGGTGTTGTTGACATTAGGTTTAAGACCTTCATTTCCGCCAGAGAGCCATTCTTATAAAACACGTACACTTCACAGCCCTATCAGGCAGGTAAGAACTGTTCCTGTCCTTTCACCAGGGCTTTTACTGTGTTTTTTATCAACGGCTGGATCATGGCAGTAATGGAGCCGCGGATACAGCTTCCATTTATACAGGACACACACACACACGATAAATCACACACACTCATTGCCCTGCAAGGTGCATCCCCCAAATGGAATAATATCAACCGTTTGTTTTAACAGTTACAATTTATATCTGTTTGATCTTGCTTTATCTCAACTATTTATGCAGTGTGTGTGTGTGTGTGTGTGTGTGTGTTTGTTTATTTTGTTTGTACTTCTTGCCTTATCGTCCCATTGCAAACACAGTATAAGGATTTCATTCAAAGACAAGACACTCCATTTATGTTTCTTTTATAGCCACAGACACTACATCATAAGTATGATAAGCTTCTTGTGACTTAAGTGGAAGAAAAATAAGGCAAAACAAACCGCTTGATTTATAGCATAATGCTTCAGAAATATGAAAACTTTCACTGCTAAACATATACTTTGCATAATAGTAATGTTTTAGGTTGAACGTATTTAAAGTTCTTGAGGGTTTTTAAAACTTCACTAATTCACAAAAAGCATAGTTGTTAGTGCAGAGGAAATATTATAATCAGTCACAAGAAGGCACACAGAGAGTGGTTGAAGGGTTCCTCTGCCACACCTTTAAGCCTCAGGGCTTGACTTGGCCTTACAAACAGCATCTGGCTTTGAAAAAAATACTTAAATCTCTGCTCACTACATAAAACGTGTTAAACATGATATTCATCTAATGGCAAAAAACCCAGAAACAGATCACATATATAATCACAAATATAATCAATGGCTGTTTAGACTTTTTGTTGATTCTCTGAAAAATTGATTGTCAAAAAATTATAATGTAGAGCATGTTTTTTCTTTCTTTTCATCCCTCTGTGTTTCATCAGGCTGTCTGCTTTTGTTTAACTAGGCTGACATAGCAAGAAAGTATTAACCCTCCTATTGTCTTCGTTCCCCCCCCCTTACTTTGGTGTTCGCGGTCAAATTTGACCGGTCCTGTTTTAACTGCTATTACATTAACACACAAAACATTAATCACCACCAAATGTCATTTAACACTCTTTCAAACTGTACATATTGTATCAGACTACTGGTATACATGAACAACTGCAGTAAATAATATACAAAGAATAGACACTGAACATGTATTGCGTGTGCCAGGTGTGATCCATGTGGGGGGATGGGCACATAAGAGCGGGAAATGCGTCAAATTGTTCTGTGTGTGTGTGTGTGTGTGTGTGTGTGTGTGTGTGTGTGTGTGTGTGTGTGTGTGTGTGTGTGTGTGTGTGTGTGTGTGTGTGTGTGTGTGTGTGTGTGTGTGTGTGTGTGTGTGTGTGTGTGTGTGTGTGTGTGTGTGTGTGTGTGTGTGTGTGTGTGTGTGTGTGTGTGTGTGTGTGTGCCAGGTGTGATTCACATGGGCGGATTGGGCACATAAGGGGGGGGGACACATCTAGAGTATGTGTGTGTGGGTGTGTGTGTGTGTTTTATCTGATCCAGATGGTTACTAATTCCTTTTCTTTATGGCGGTCTTGTTTGACCGGGAACACCATGGGTGTTACAAAGTTGACTAAATCATCCAAAATTCAATGAAAGTGGTGATCAGCAATTGTATATGTTCAAATGTCTACTGTGAAGGATATCATAAAGCCTTAATGCAATCGAATGTAAAACAAAAAAGTTATGATTGATGAAAGTAGTAAATCGGTCAGATTTGACCCGAAGACAACAGGAGGGTTAAACTGCTGCTGTATGCAGTTCAAAACTTTAAACAACTTAAGATCCAAATGTCAGATTTTCAGCAAGTGCAAAAATAACTGTGTATATAATTCTAAAATTGTTCTTTTATCAAAACATAAGAGAAGGTTTCACAGAATGTTCTCTAGGCGCACAAAAGGAAAATGCAGGGCTCCTCAAATAAACTGCTCAAAGATGTATCCAGAGTAACTTTAATGCGACAACACACACTTTCTACAGTTTACCTTGCCATAACAACAATGTCAATAATAGACAATAACTCTACATTAAAACCACATTTATCCGATTACAGGATCGCTGTGAATGATCTCCACCCACACTGTATATTTAACATAACTAATAGTTTGTTAATCAATGGAAAACATATACACATTACACATCATGACTTGTTGTATTTGTACTACAAGGTATGATCTGGGTGTCCTCTCTGGTTTTGGACCTTCCTTGCAGCATGGCTCTTCGGACAGCATTGTCTGTTTCAACGTCTGTCCATCTGTCCACCACTAAAGTTCCAATCTAAAATATCTTAAGGGAAAGAATGTATGCGCTGTTAACAAATATTTTGTATTACTTATGTTAAAAACTTTAATAGTTTTCATCCAGAGCGCCCATCACAAGACAATCTCAAGTTATCCAATACTGCAGTGACAGTGAGGATTTATGAATTGTACGTTTTCATCATTTTCCAGAAGACTTATCAACCAATCTGTAAACAAACCCTCTGATCAGCAGGTCAGCGTCTGGAAATGAAGCCGTTCACAGAGTTTGTTTTCTCTAGCCGTCGCTCACTGCTCTTCAGGCGTCATTATTTTGTTTTCACTTCAATTTGTTATTCATTGCTTACTGCATGATAAGAGCATTTTCCTCTGGTGTCAATCCCAATAGCTGATTTTCACTTGGGCAAACAAGTTGTTTTGATTCAGTTGATCAGCAGGACTAGGATAATGTTCTCCGTTGGGTTTTAAGATGGAAACACAGTGTGATTTAGTTCTCCTGTCAAACAGTTTTTGACATCAAAGTCAAGTCAACTTTTTTGTCAATATACTGTTTGTGTGATACATCGAAATGCTGTTTCTCACAAGCCCGAGGAATAAAATAAAAAAAACTATACTGTACATACATTTATATATACATACATACATACATACATACATACATACACACATACATACATACATACACACATGCATACATACACACATACATACATACATACATACATACATACATACATACATACATACATACATACATACATACATACACACACACATACATACATACATACATACATACATACATACATACATACATGTACACCCACTCATGTAAATATATACCGTACATACACATACATAATCAAACATAGAAACATATATACATATGCACAATTAAGATGCATAAATAAAAGGCACAACTGTCAATATATCCAAAATAACAGTCACTTCAAAACGGGTGAGGTAACATTAAAACAGTAAAAATATGTACAGTAGTGCAAATGACTATATCTTTGTCGCTTCTTTCACAATTACTTGTTTAAAAAAAAAAGAAAGTTAAATTATATATTTTGCTGTTATGGCCTACTTATAACATATTGTTCAAAAAATATTTATTTTACCTTTCACTGCATACTGTAATCTGAAAACTATACTCTTATAAATCTTTATTTTATTGTATGTGCTTCTTGTTATCTCTCTACGGTCCACATTTGTATTTCTGTCTTCCTTCTCCCACCTTGTTTATTTATTCTGCCACACTTCTGTTTCCATTTTTACCTCTGTCATCACATCCTACTCTAGATGCATACTTGTTTTATTTTCCTCAATTATCTGTGCCTGCCTGCTATTATTAGTATCACTGCTAAATGTGCATAAGCAATTTGCATTATAAATGAACAATTGTTATTCAAATATTCATCCACATTGTTCTCCGTAACAATAAACAGAGGTTTAATTGCGTAATATGTAAACGAAGGTTTAGTTATTAAAATTCCGCTTCGGTAAGATTAGAAGATTGATATCAATATCCGCTTTGTGCAATCAGACTGGTTGAGCCTAGCTTATCGCACAGACTGGAAGTAAGAAAGTGAAGTTAAAGAAAGAAATTAGACCATTCAGCTTCTAATAAACTAGATCCCCAGTGCATCCATGAGTCACCAGAGCTTTGAGGAAGGATTGTAGTTAATGAAAGCTTGTGTTACTGCTCATATGATTGACACATCATTGTCTCTGCTTCCACTCTTTATGCTGCCTTAGGCCAAATACATCCTAACCCTACCTTGTTGCTACTAGGCCTGACTTACCAATTATTCTTTTTTCTTTCATCTCTTTTATCTAGCCATTGAGTGCATCGTGGTTTTGCCTGAATCAAAGACTCACTGGAATCCTGTCTTCGGCACCTGCGTTTTCCTCTTCTCCTTCCTCATCCCTGTGGCTATCATCAGCATCTGCTACAGTCTGATGGTTAAGCGCCTGCGCAACGTCCGCATCCTGTCCGGCTCCAAGGAGAAGGATCGCAACCTGCGGCGCATCACCAGGATGGTGCTGGTGGTGGTGGCGGCATTTGTGGTCTGCTGGACCCCAATCCAGATCATGGTCCTGGCTCAGACTCTGGGCTTCAACCTGAGCAGCCTGTTCACGCTGGTGCTGATGCACTTCTGCATCGCGCTGGGCTACGTCAACAGCAGCTTGAATCCTGTGCTCTATGCCTTCCTGGATGAGAACTTCAAACGCTGCTTCCGTGAGTTCTGCAACCCGTCGCCCTTCCGCCTGGACACCCAGCAGTCGGGCCGGATGAGGAGCATCGCCAGGGAGGTGGCGGCGGCCTACAGTTGCAAAGCTGATGGTAGTGGGCACGGTGGAGGGACATCTAATCCTGCATGACTAGGCGTGGAGCTTCCCTTGGTGGGGGTAGACCCCCAACAAAGGGAAGAGAACCACGGGACAGGGAACTCAAACACAGAATTGACCCAGATTACAGCTCTCTAGCGGCACGAGCCCCCCCGCCCCCCAACTAGAAGACTGGCCTGGGGTGGGGGGGAAGAAGATGAGGAGGAAGGGGTCGAAAGGAAAAGGATTTAGAAATATGGATGGTGATAGTATTAGGGAGAGGGAAATGGGCTACATTGAAAGCTTTCATAGAATGGGTGATGGACGTCTGTGTAGGCGACGGTGCCTGATATGGGGTTAGGGTTAAATAGCCCAAACCATTTTGATTCGTGGATTTTGGAATGAATATGGCCCTAACTCCACTGAAGCGGTAAGTCATTTTGGAATGTAAGAATCAAACTATCTTTAGGTGGACTTAAACACAAAAGGGGTGAAAGTGAAAGTTTGAAAGTGATTGAATCTTTCAACTGAGGCTGGTACCCAGTTGCTGCATCTCTAGAAAGATATCTGACTCAGTACTTGTATATGAGAAGGTAGGTGTTGGGGCTAGACATTTGGAGAGACAATGAAAGCAGCACAGGAAGGAGTGCAGATACCAAGATCTCTGAAACCACCACAGACTGAACACCTGCCAAGGGAAAATAAAGCTTTCATGAAATGTGAAATATGTAATACCCACTTCACTACAGTTTATTATATATTCATCAGTTGATGTTTCAGACAAAATAACTTTAAATGCCCTGTGTACGACGCTGATCCCATTATGGGGTCCCTATTGTGACGGTTCTCTAAAAAAGGGTATGCATAATTTTAAAATGCTGCTGAGCCCTTTTAAGAAATTAGAAGGGCTTACAAAGTATAATGTGATCATACAGCCAGTAGACAGAAGGTTTATTGTAATAGAAGTATATGCTACAAGCCACTATTGAACAATGTTTCCTAAACTGTGTATATGGAACTCATGAATGTTATTTCTTGTTGGAGCAACATTTCTCAGCGGTACTGAAGCTAAATAGCCTGCGAAACCCCGTCCAACAAGTAGAGTTTTTGTGATTCTGGACTTTGTATGATAACCTATGGGGTGTGGGATAATTAGGGTTAAGGGCACAGACTGGTGAAAGAGTTTCCTGGAAAAACAGCAAAAAAAGACAGAAATGTGGAATATCCGGCTGGATGAAATGTGTTGGGACAAGCCTGACCTGGGTTTCCTTCTCCTTATTCTTGCCTGTTTGTGGTGGGTCAACACATGAAAGGTCAAAAAGCCTGTATCCTAGCGTATACAGGGTTCAAAATTAACCATTTCAATTTGCATGTCGGAGTCACACTTTTTAGGACAACCTCTGACCCGCCATACTGTAAGCACTGTATGTAAACATTGAAGCAGTTGCGATGTTGACTGAAGTTTATTTGCATAAATAAAGCAAAGTTTACTTTGTAGCCAGTGAAACTGTAGGGCTCATTAGTTGGAAAAGTCTGGTTCTTATCAATGTATGTACATTTTTCAAAAACATTTCTGATACCCAAACCTAATGATCGATTTGGGAATACATTGGTTACTTGCCAACAACTAAATCTCTGATTGTCCTGATTGAAACATGGCAAATCTCACATAAGGCCATTTTAACGATCAATTGTTAGCATATGATCAGTGTTTAGTAAATGATATAGGCTTACGCTTACAGGTTATATGGAAGGGACTTTTCAGTTTCACCCAAACCACTACATTTTAGACTTTGTGGCAGTTCGGTTATAATATTGCTAACGTTATATGTTTATGGAAAATTAAGTGTTTAAGATATATATATATATAAAAATACACTTTGGGGTACGCTGATTTTCCCAGGTCTGTAGCTGCTGTCAGGATTGGATTGGATTTGGGGTTGCGTTTTGGATTGGTGGTGAACTTAAGGTATTTTGAGGATGTGACATTAACATTGGGCGGGTTTGGGTAGGGGTGCTATCGTTGAGTCATTTTGACTCCCAGCGCTACAGTTGCAAAGCAGGAGTCGGGTCACAGTGTTCTGACCCCACTCCGAGGGACAAAGGGGCTCTCTCTCTTCTCAGTGTCTTAAAATGGAAATCGACACTGATTTAGAAACCATATGATATTCTTCTTTTCCTGGACAGTTTCGGAAATAACACTAACAGCATTAGACTACATACGGTATGCCAACATCTTATAGGACACTAAGTTGGGCTTAGTATAATTAAATGTAGTAAATATTATTTACTTGTGTTCTTAAAAAGAAATGTCTCCCTCACATAAGTCAACAATTTCAGAAATGCTTGATCGCAGTTGTAGTTCTATTTGTCGTAGTTTTTTGTGCACTCCAGTTTTTACCAAACACTTTAACAGTTCTGTAATGTTTGCATAAAGCATGTAAGGACAAACAATTTCTCCAAACTATTCACACAATTTGCTGGCATTGTACATATGCAGTAACAACAGAGTGTCACCTTTAATATCTTGTACATCCTGTATCTTCAGGATAGTGGCTCATTCAGTAATACTGTTTATCTTTGTTTCAAGGCTAAATATGTACTAAGAATTATTTAAGAAAACAACAATTACACCATTTCACACTTTGGATATTGTTACTGCTCTGACATTGTTGGCTGCAGTTTCAGTGAGGCACTTAGCAGTTAAACTGTCCAGGCTTTAAGAATAACTTGTGGATTCTGTTTTAGGGTTGGTTTCCCCTTTAGTTTTATATTTGTGTCTCTTTATAAAGGCCTAATTTGGTCATTTGGTTTGATAATTATGTACTGTAATTACTTTGAATTCAAACAATATATGTGTGTTCATTTTTTTTCAGATGTATTTGTGAATAGCGAGTTGACACATGTTGCTGTCATGAAGGGTTGTGGTTTGATGTACATTGAATTGTTTAAGTTATGTATGTACAAACCAATTACTTGGTGCCGTTACACTTTGCAGCACATATAAATCTTTTTTTTGTCTTCTTTTATCTGAGAGGAACAATTCTATGAACTTACATTGCCTTAACTATCAAGTGAAGTCTGTTAACTGAAGCTCGCTCTCCGGCTGGATGAAATGTGTTTTTACTGGTGCTTCGCTGTTAGTTTATACTAGTCCAGACCTGTATTCATAAAGCCTTTGAGGACAGAGCTTCTACACCAGAAAAATATCTATTTTGAGTTTGTATTTCTTGAAAAAGCGGTCTTGAGCCTTAATATAAGGGTTTAACTGCATTATTCATGACTACCGATTGCTAACATATCAGAGGTTGTGTATTTAACACAGTTGGCATTTTAGAGAATTGGGCATTTATCTTCTTACTTATTGTTACTTACAGGATGCTGCCTGAAACAGTAACACAGACCTGCTAAAATGCTAATTGAGATGATGGACATGTAAACCCCCTAAATTGCACATCATCAGCAGTGGGATGGGAATCAGTGGGTTATTTGAGTTTAAAGAATCAGGTATAGTAGAGAATCTTTAATTATTTAAAGGTCCCCTATTATACTGTTTTTCATCAATATATTATAGGTCTCAGATATATACAGAACATGTCTCTGAAGTGTTTGGCTCCAAATACCAAACAGATCATTGCAGCATCCCATAATCCCCTCTGTTTCAGCCCTGTTTCAAAAGTGCTGATTCTCTGTCTGTTACTTTAGATGAAAATAAGGAGCCACTCCTGGATCTGGACAAAAAGTGAGCAAATATTTTTTCCTGAAACTTTCATAATCTCTTTACACAGAGGGGACACATGTTTATGTATAAAAGACAGGAACAAGTGGATTTTGCATAATAGGTGACCTTGAAAATAAAAAAAAGTCCAAAATAGTCTGTCCATAATAGGCACTTCTATAACACATAAAGTGTCATACATTCTTGAAGCTATATGTTTTTTGCCACACCCCTGGTATCATTGATGAATAAGTCTGGTTGTACTGTTTTGAGATGGCTTTATGAATACTGGTCATCTTTTGTTCAACATAGCAGACTCTGTGTAGGAAAAATATCCGGAGCACCAAGGACACTGTCTTCGACGTGATTAACCTTTATGAAGACGTGCTATAACGCAGCTCTGAGGCTCTTTGTTGTCACTGTTAAAACTGAAGATGCTACCATATTTTGTATTACTGTTTGATGTTTTTTGTAGCACAAAACTACATAAAGAGGACTCCAAGGGGGCAAAAATATTTCTGTTTAACAATGCAAAGTGCATTATACCGTCTGTTAGCTCTGTATACAAATTATGTTTAATATTACACTTATGTGAAACTATAAAACATGGTTCTGATCATCATTTAAAGTCTGACCTCTTTCTCTTGTCATTCTTGGTGTATAAATGAAAACTTTTTCTCGCCAACCGTAATGGTACGTATTGTTACCTCTGTGCATCTGATCGCAGGGAGATATTCCTTTCATTCGTTTACCTTTTACAGACCACATGAATGTCAAATTAAAAACCTGTTGAAAATCCAAATCTAGGAAGAAAAAACAAACAATGTTGATGTTGTTGTTATTAATATTATTGCTATCAAAAGAGAAAAACAGTATCGCATTAGTGTTTTTTGCTGTGCGGAGACTGTCTGGTATGTATCTATGTATTACTTGTGGACCGCATTTTGCTCGCTGCCTGAGTTATGAAATGAAACAGTTCTTAAGGCTTAAAAATGAATTACATTTTTGCTTTTGTTGCTTAAAAGGCCCCACTTTTAAACTTCCCTTCACCTTCAACTATAAATCCACACACAATTGAGCTGTGATCAAAAACGTGAAGTAGTTTTTTACACTTCTTATCTCACGCTGGGGTTGGGACTAGGTCAGAGTATCGGTTAAATGCTTAAAATGTGAAGAACATGTCAATGTCAAATGAACTGATGCTGTCTAGTCAAAATTCGCTGATAGTGGGATTTAAAAAATGGTTGGGGATTTGTTGGGGTCAGGTGACAGAGCTGTTTGTATCACATGACTCTGGCTGAAGCTACATAAAATGACTTGTTCCGGTTCTGCAAATCGCAGACTGAACTACCATGCTAGCTGGCTTGTTGTCGATGCATAGAGACTTTTTGCTGAAGCTTGAATTTTAAATTGTATATTTTTCTCTGCATATGAAATGAAAATAAAATAAATGATGGCCATGTTGTGTATGACTCATTGATCTATTATCCTGACTGTTTGTCGTATGGACTCTATCGTTTTTCTAATAGATGTTGGTGTAAGTAACACACTTCATTTTATTTTATTTTTACATTATTATTCTCGCATATATTACCATTTTCCTTATGTTTAGGTACAGGTACAATATGTCTGTATTCAACAATAGGGACACAAATGATCATATCTTTACAAATACGCTTTTACTATTAAATTGTTTGGTTATTCCATCAAGTATTCTTAGTTTTACTTTGAGTATACCTTGTAGGAAAGTTTGGCGTAGTGGTTTCTTTGTGTTGTTTGACAATTCCTTTGTAATTAATTGTCAAGACAATGAGCTGTCACACACATGTCCCAGTGGACAAGGACAAAGAATGAACAGCTCACTGGAGGAGGAAGTGCACAAGTTTATGTGGGAGATGAAATCAATCAAACCTGTTGCCAGTTATTGTCAGCATCTATTCAATCAAAACAAAGACAAAGGTTTGACTCATTTTCCAAAAGGTATACATGCTTAGACCCTGCTGTATGTAACTAAGATTGATCGTTGATGTGTATCTACGATGGAGAATCGTTTGCTGACAGTGCGTACCGCACCAACACACAACAACAACAACTGTTTTTCACTCTGAAATAGTGCTGATCCAACATTGTTGTTTTGACACATAACTCACATTTGATCTATTCATTGTTCATCAATTTCAAATGAATTTGTATCTGTATAATCTGCAAAGCTTCCCATTTTTTAACAATATGTTGGAGACATAACAAAAGTGCTGCAGTAGCTCAGTGAGCATTTGGATCCACATGAATATTTTAAAGCTGCCTACAGCTATACATTAATGCGTGTTTGTGAAGTGAAATCAGAAGATGTATTTATCTTGTTGAGAAGTCTTTGATCCCTGCAGGCCCCACATTTACCATTGGAAAATGTCTAGCAACAAAATAAAGAAACTTGATTGATCTTAGCTTTTGGTTTTTAATAATGGAAGTTATGGAGAGAAGCTGTAGAAATGCATTTATAGAGATTGGTTTTTATGCAATCACTGTACATCCTGACATGTTTCCAGATTACCAATTTGCTCTACACTTTGTAGTGATAGTAGTGATGTAGTAATAGATATACTAAACAGATAATCCAAAAAATAAAATGATCCTCCATATCTTTAAACTTGAGGGGTAAAGGGTCAATTGGTACGCAGATTTAACTTAAACCTACCTTAATATAGCCAAAGACAGGTAGTGCACATCCTGCTGAGCAATACTGCAGGCAATCATGTTACAGGCTTTCATGTAATAAGTGCCATTTACCGTTCCCTGACCTAGCCCTTAAAGTATTGCCTCCTAGCAGGCAACATAATTACACCCATAAAATAGCATCACGCCTAAGGACAAACACAGGGAGAAAATGTCCCTTCATTTCTTTCGTTCCCTAATCATTAAACGGGAGGTGAGTGGATTGATGAATACAATTAAGACACTAGTACATAGCTAGCAAACCAACCAGACACAACTTCTAAAATGAAGTCAACACATCAAGAGACAATATTATGTTTGGTCGACAAGGAAAAAAGGTTTCACAACGATGACCATGGCAACCGTTAGGAGTCGGGAAGCAGCAGGAGAATGTGAAAAGTAATCAACTGAGAGTTTTTCATAAACAACCATTTGACCTTTGAAAATAGTTTTTCAGAGTTCTTGGTAACAGGTTCGAAATGTCAGTGGGAGTATAAAGGTTAAAGCAATTTCCCCAAGTCGCCCTTTCAGCGCTGAAGGTCATCTGTTTCCAGTCAGATCCGTCCTGTGTTTGCAGCTCGGCGGCTACTGTAGTCGGCTTCTTGTGAAATGTGTGTAATTTAAGTTGGATCACAGCAAGATATGTTAGTGAGCAGATAAACATAAGATTAGTAGAACATATGTGTGGTCCTAATTGTGATCATGACCCCTATTCTTTTGTAGCTGCAGACATTTTCACACATCCATATGCTTACATGAGTGATTACTGACTTGCACTTATGTTTCTTTGTGGATACTTTGTGGATACTTGCCTATTTACTGCTTTTCAACTTGTCTGATTACCCAATCATGTCACAGGAAGATTCAGCCCCTTTTGTTAACACTTCAAACGATTAGGCTGGTGTTACTGATCAGTATATTTTCCGTAAGGTGAACAAAGCCACTTATCTTTTTACATGTCTGCCAGGATGATCTTACTTATCTGTTGGTTAGTGTCAGGCGCTTGGTGGAGATCCGCTCATGAGTGCACTACTTTTTGTTCAAAATGTTTTTGTGGTTAACACCTTCACAAAATGACTCACAGCAGCTATGTTTTAATGCTACAGTAACTCATCTCTTTTGTCCTACTGTTCTCCGTGATCTCTGTACCTCGTAATCTTTCATTTATATCCATACATTCTGACTGCTGTCGTGATGAAAAATAAACACGTACTACCTTTCTGAAGTGTCCAGTGAGTACAAGGGCCTTCTCACTTCACAAGGAAATGTCCTTGCACGTCTATTCTTCTGCTTCTCCCTTTGATCTTACTCATCTCCATATTCTGTCTCTTCTTTTCCATTTTCATTATATAACATCCCTGCTCTATCTATTTGAACCTTTCACACACATACACACTCCTCTGTCACAGCTGTCACACTTACCTTGTATACTTAATTTTCCTTTTATTGCTTTTACCTACTTCTTCTCCCTCCTCTAAGAGCTTTTGCATATTCTTTTTTACTCTTTTATTAAATGAAAAACCCTTTCCTCGGCTATCTCTAACCTTTCTCTTTATACCTGCACCTGTGCATTCAGTAGACACATTCATCCAAATGACTTTGCGCTTGTACTTTATGAATATTTTAACCCTAATAAAAAGAGACTATATACAGTATACTCATATACTCTGCTAGCTTGCAATTTAAAGTGCACGTTTAATCCTATCACCCTGCTCACTCGTCCAGCACATTTGAGAACATTTGCATTTTCTTGGGGGGCGGCGGGGTGAGGAGCTCGACGCTCGTGAACTGTCAACAGGAGGGCGGGGGAGCCTCGCTGCGGGGAAGCAGTGTGTGGACCTGTTAATGGGGCTCATTCACTGGCGCTTCCACAAACAACAACCAACATAATTGTTACATTCAAATGAAGTAGCTTACATTATTCAAGTGTACATTAACTTTGGATAATAACACGGGAGAAATTAGCTGAAGCGCTCTCTTTTCCTCTCTCCCCCTCTCTCTCTCTCCTGACAGCCTGTCAGTATCTCATGCAGCTCACTGATCCAGTAATGAGTGACCCGACAGTGAAGAATACATATATTTATAACTAGTTCCAGAGGTAGATCAAATAGCTAAGTGTGTTAGGTCTAACTCTTGTGTGTTTTGCTCCGCTCACCGGTCCGTCACAGCGGGTGGAGCTGCAGGATTTCTGCTTCACACACGTTGCACCGCTATTTTATTGTCATTTTCGGACACCTTAAAATACTGCCAGACTGGTGAAGCCATTTTGGCGAGCTTGTTTTGCCGCACACAGAGAAAAGTGTCATGTATTTTACGTCTCGCGATCGAGAGCACCGATCGATCGGCAGAGAGTGAGTATTGGCCGATATTGATCGCCACGCAAAAACTGCGGTATTTTTACAGCTCCTTATGGGTACTGCAATTTGTGAAGTGCTTTCCTCTGTGGTGAAACTATCAGCACTGCATTACGGAGGAAAGCCGCAGAAAGTCGCCTGGAGTTAAAGAGAGCGGGGCTGCGTTGCGTGCATGGCTTCCTTCTGCAGGTAACGGGGAGACGCGCTCTGGCGGCGGTCTCGTTCAGGATCCGAAAATACTATTTAAATATTTTGCACACTTATTCCACTTATTCCTAGTGTGCCACTGGTTACGGTGCCGCGTGCCAATGGTGGCACGCGTGCCAGGGGTTGCCGACCCCTGGTATAGACAAATCCAACATTTCACATCAACAAAACAAACACATTCATCCAGAAACTGTTCTAAAATTACAAATCATAACATTCAAAATGAAAGTCTGTGCGTGTTTTAAGGTCCAATTCGAGATTTGGCGGTAAATGGAAAAACAGATTCTGCAAAGAAGGACCGCTTCAATGGGATGTTTAAGTTTAGAGCAGATCGAAAGGCTGTGCTCTTTGGCCCAGTTCGTACACTGGTAATACCCTCTCCAGTCTGATTTAGTCATATCTCGGTCTGCATGAATGTAGCACCTCATTCATGAATAAGAAATGCACTGTTATATAACTGTGTTGCTAATTCAAAGAACTTGGAGCTATTGTGAATGTTCTCGGTACTTGGAGCTGTGCTGGAACATTCTGATAAAGACAAGATCTTAAGAGGAAAATAAAACGCCATCCTGAGTGGAGAACAACAGGAAATATCATATAGTATGATCGTGTAAGAGGCATTTAATATTTGATTAGTCTTTGGTTCTATTGCTTAAACTCATTTCAATCCATTTGTTACAGTTTTCAGTCTCATTTATAAGACATCCAGCAATCTATATGTCATACCTATATATCAACCTACTATAAACTTAAACATAGTGACGTTGACATGTTTGAAAGGAAAAAATAACTGAAAAAAGCTTCCACAATGCTGTGTGCTTAAGGGAGTTTCAAGTCAAGCTATTTTATTTATATAGCCTGATGTTACAAATCACTTATTCAACTATGGGGGCCCACGTCTGCTCGAGAAATACAGAAGTGCTTGTGACCCGTTTCCGGTCACAGCTCTACCCTTGACCTCAGAAATGTCTATGTTCACCTTTAGAAACATTACAGATACTTCATCTTAATGAACAGATAGCCGGGCTGTTCACAGGCAGCAGCAACTAATCTTTGTCCACCACTGTGATCTATTACATCAGGGTCCTCTTTATTGTAACATCATTCAACCACAGCAACAGGACGTTTACCCCGTGGGCAGCAGATCTTTTCATAGCTACAAGGAACAGTTTGCCCTTGTGTCTTTAATAAAGGTCATGCT